AGAGAGCAGGTCGGGGGAAATTGGAACTGTCCTAGCTCCTCTCCTGTCCCCAGTACTCACGTGTGCCCAGTCACTTCTGCACACTCACTGATGGAAACTCCAGGGGGTGTACTAACGCAATCCAGACATCAGATCAGATGCACGGCTGGTGTAAAGTGGCGTTGCTTCGTTAAGTCCATATGGCACTACACCGAACTATGTCAATTTACATCCACTGAGGATCTACCCCCATGACACTTATTATCAGCTGCTGGGTTTTTCACACTTGCAGCTGTAACGAGCAGTATTTTGTTCTCTAGCTGGTCTGTCTGTGAAACAGACACAAAGGGGCACGTTCTTCTCTATTAATTACAACACATAAATCCAGAGCATCTCAGCTGAGACTCAGGGTATGTCTACAGTTACACCCTCTTTCTAGAGAGGGATGCAAATGAAGATATTCGAAATTGCAAATGAAGCTGGGATTTAAATATCCCACGCTTCATTTGCATATTCACGTTATGGCGCTATTTTGAAATAACAGACGCTGTGTAGACGCGGTTATTTCGAGAGAAAACCCTTCTCTCGAAATAACCCTTATTCCTCATACAATGAGGTTTACCTCATTCGGTGTAGTGCCGTATGGACTTTATTTCGAGAGAACGGTTTTCGCTCGAAATAACCACATCTACATAGCATCTGTTATTTCAAAATAGTGCCAAAACACGAATATGCAAATGATTGAAGCACAGGATCTTTAAATCCCGGCTTCATTTGCAATTCAAATGTCTTCATTTGCATCCCTCTCTCGAAGGAGGGTGCAAGTGTAGACATATCCTGAGAGTTCTTCTGGATTAAGTGCACTTTAGTGAGAGTGGAATCTGGCCCTGCAAACCTCATAACCTGCAGAGATCTGCTGTATAAACTAGTGGCAGATCTATGAGCTCTGGTGGAACTGTGCTGCTACACACCAGCTAAGAACAGAGTCTAGACAGAGTTGGATCATTGTACCCATCTGCTGATCAGTATTCCAGATAGCTGGGTGGGAGAGAATGGCAAGAGAGAGAAGACATCAGTGTAGAATTCAGGACTGCCCCAGTCACCTCATGGGCAAGGAACAGCATGGGAGTGGAGCTGCCAGAGAAGCATCAAGGAATGGAGGCAGGAATAGGGGAGGCAAAGAAATCCTGAGTCTCCTTGCCACAGGGTCATCTCTGTCCTTCATCCACTGACTTTGATAAAGCAGAAGGCTGTGCATTGCAGTCTGTTCTGTGTGGGTGTTTCAGACAAGACCTTAAAATCTAAGCTCCTGTCTGCTCTATTTGCAGACTCTCTCCAGAGACTTCTTGTAACAAAGGGGGTAGGGAGGGTGGTTCTCTGTATTCTTTGCCAACAATGGATTCCTCATCCCACTCCTACTCCCCACTCCCCACACACACACTATTTATGCATGCCCAGTTGGCTACCACCTTCCACCCCAGAAGTGGCTGCATGGCAGTGGGGCTGCAGGTGTATATGTAAAAAACACACTAGAAATGTAAGCGATTAGCACTACAATCCCCCATGTGCTACAACAGGGTTCTTTCAACCTTTTTCATTTGTGAGCCCTACACAATTTCAAATGGAGGTCAGATCCTTTTGGAGGCTGAAAACCACAGTATACATGACCAGGCTGGGATTCCTGGAACTGGGGTGTCCATTCTCCGAGCATCCTGAGGCTGAGTTGAGCCAATAACTCAAATAGTTGTTGCGACTGTTTCTGTCCAAGTGATTGGATGGCAAAGAGTCTGGAATGGGTGAATTAGGCCACCTGACATTGTTCCTATTCCCCGATGGTTGGAGCGCACAAGCGTGCCAGGTGTGAATGCTGTCTGCAAACACTGGCCCCTGTGCTTCTGAATCCTGACCCCCATCAACAGCCATGCTAGGAATTTGGCTCCATAGACACTCGCAGGAGGTGAGCATGCAAGAGTTGAGCGTAGATGACGAAACAAAGTCCTTTAAGAATGTGGGTGGACTGACATTTGTGGGAGTTTGCCTAGCTGTAGGCAGAGACATTACCACTATGGAAATGGGATTCTCATTATAGCTGGGTGATATGTTTTGCCAAATTGTTTTTCATTGAAAAATGCATTTTGGTGGCCCAAACTGCTAACTGAATTTGGGTTACATGCAGCAAATAGTGATGGATGGAAATACTGAAAAGTCAAAATGTTTTGTCCAGACTTTTTTATTTGAAATGGCATTTCAATTACATAGTTGGCCAAATTTTTTTTTAAGGGTGAAAATAACCAAAGCGTCTGAATAGCTGCTCCCCTTTCCCCCCCCCCCTCCCCCCCAGTTCAAAAGGAAATATTCTTTTGAGTTTTCAATTTGTCAAAAAAATGCTGATGTCATTTTGGTTCAAATCAAACTGGAATTTGGGGGGCATTTTTTGGTTCAAGCCCTGAATCAAAAAACCCTATTCAATCAGCTCTAATTCCCTTAACTGTTCCTGAAGGGAGTTGGGGGAGGTGTATTCCTTCCCCTAAAAACTGCACTGTAATTACTCTCTGCCCTCCACTGCTCCTGCACTTCAGCACAGAGCACTGAAAGGAGAAGGATCTGAAAAGAAGAGAGGATGAAAACATATTGGGTGATCTTCTGCTTTCCATTAAACCCATGAAAAACAAAAGCAGCTCCAGTGGTTTATTGGAGTTGCTCTGGATTGACAGCAGTGTAAACAAAAGTGAGTTTGACCCATTTGGTGGTTCCCAAGGAGCCTGATGCTGACCCTACCTGGGTTTCACTCCAGGATGACTCCACTGACTAGTCTGTTGAGCCAATTTAGTCATTGACTTTAAAGTCGGGCATCCTGGGTTTGTAAATGAGAACAGGGTCTGGCAGAATTTGACCAGGGTTCGCAACTAGCAGTGTGGGTGGGGAAGGTGAGCAAGAAGTGTGGCCACCACAAAACCACAGTCAGTCTAGTAATTTCAGGGGGCCTTGCTCACCATGCCTCCCTGAAGGTCCTGCCATCCCTCTAGGGAGGCACGCCCCACACTTTGGGGACCACAGGGCTAAACAGAGGAGACAAAGAGGTGGGAAAGTAACAAAGGTCAGCTTGTAAAAGATCTCAGCATCCAGTAGGCAGACTCTTCAGACATCAGGCTGCATATTTTAGTGCTCAAAAGGGAGCTAAGCCTTGGTAAAAACTCAGATCTTATGGGACTTGCTTGAGGATGCCCAGCGAGTCCACAGCAAAGCTTGGAACCAAGCCCCCATCTCCTGTGTGCAACACCATGCCTTATCCTCAAGCCCAGCCTTCTGCTGGTGTGGTGTCCCCTCCGTTTCTCCCTCTTTTTTGTTCCCAAACATCCCTCTCCTCCCCTTCCCTCCTTCCCTCCATCCTCCCCTGCCTGTGGAGCTGCTCTTAGAACTTTCCCTCAGTAACTCAAAAGAGCATGTTTGAACCAGGCCCGTCTCCCCCCACCCACCCCACCACGTGCCAACTCATCCCAGCTCATCGATCAGAGCCACTCAGGAAGTATCTGGTGTTTTGTTGTCAGGATGATAATAACATTGAGGTTGTGAATGGGCTGCTGCAGGCCTCATCCAGGACACCTGCAGGGTCTGGTTAATTGCATTTAATGACAACTCCCATCCAGAGAAGCAGTGCCGGGGAGATATATTTTCTATCGCATTGGCAAAGCACAACAGCTCAAAATACAATTTTCACTGAGCA